GTCCATTTAAATTGGTTGGTTTGCTAGCATGGTCTCTGCTGTTAGGCGCAGTCCACAAATTTTCAATAGGGTTGAGGTCAGGACTTTGGGGAGGCTATTCCAGAAGCTTAATGTTAGCCTGATCGATCCAAAACCACATGTGAAGTGTGTTTGGGATCATCGTCGTGTGTGTGTGTGTGTGTGTGTGTGTGTGTGTGTGTGTGTGTGTGTGTGTGTGTGTGTGTGTGTGTGTGTGTAATTTATGATTAGCCAGTAGTCCCGTCACAGCACAATCAGCATCTGTGGTGCTTTCACTTTTTCCACCCTGGCAGACACAGACAGGTCAGACCAAAGGCGCTGCAATGCTCTTTATCTGATTTGCTCTCTGCTGGGTTAATCAGCACTCAAAGCAGCTCGTTCAACTGTTTCTCTCCCTCCTATCCACTTATGACCTGGTCTGTAAGCTTTGCTGCTTGCTATGTTGTAGGTCAGATTACACACACTGCCTGAGACTGGTTGAACATTTACGAATCCTGCTAAGTCTCAGTTTTGTCTTCTTATACAGCCTGTGTCTTTAGTGAGACTTGTTTTCATTGTTGTTGACAGTAATAGAAGTAGTATTAGTGCTTTTGACTGCTGAGTGTATACTTTTCTGTCAAGTTACTTCCGTGTGTGTGTGTGTGTGTGTGTGTGTGTGTGTGTGTGTGTGTGTATTCAGCAACCAAAATACAATCACTTTCAAAGTGAGGCCTGCGGTTTATACACAATTGATGACAATTAATTTAGTTTTTTTTAGGTAAAGATTTACTGATACTTCAGTGAACTTATAAATAAAAACTGTCTGTAGTTGGAGTGCAGTCCCTCAAGCTGCCGACCTTTTACTGGTAGTGTCCTCCACACTACATTAACTCTCCTGCTAGCTACCAATACGCCACTGCTGACGTGCTGTGTAGTAAACAACATGCAGTTCAGTTCCAGTTCGGGTTTATTTATGTAGCACCACTTCACAATAATGTGTATGTGCATACAGAACTTATTTTGACTGTGTACCTTATGACAAATTTAGCTATTTATTGGTAATTTTAATATGTTTGTCTGGAACAGGTCGCTCTTGCAAATGACACATTGGATCTCAATACGACAACTTGTATAAATAAAGGTTAAATAAATAAATACAACTTTGAATTCCTCTGTGGTTGTTTTGCTATCAGCACCTGTATTAATCTGTTGTTATTGAATCACATATTTGTTCTTTGTGATACAAAACTCGCTTTGGAGAAATGCATATTCTGCTCCCACCGTTTGAGAAACTGGGACCCGATCAATACTGAGTTTTAGAGGCAGTCAAGCTATTATTCATGCTTTTATTTCCTCTCAATTAGATTACTGCTGTGGCCTTTTAACAGTTATCAGTCAGAACACCACTTAATAGATTTCAATTTGTTCAAAATGGAGCAGCACGAATTCCTGCAAGAGCAAAGACAAGTGAACATAGTAGACCACTTTTAAGGACTCTGCACCGGCTGCCAGTTTGTTTTAGAAGTATGTTTAACTCTACTGTTAAAGCCTTTCATTGTCCCAGTATTGGCTCTGCAGTCACCTCCTGACTCTTCTGCACCGCCTCTTTAATGCAAAACACAACTGAGTGTTTGCTGTTAGCCAGGCAGGCAGAAGAGCCTGAACTTCACAACTATCTTCTTTTTCGTTACTGTTTTTTTTTTTTTTTTTTAACAATTGTTTGTTTTATAACGTCCAACTTTTACATTTTTAGGTTATTGTTAGTTTATCCTTGTCTGCTGAGTCACACTGCAAATACTCTCAATGCTGTGCTTCAGTCTTCACTGGTCTGTTTGAAAATGTAGATTTTAAATAGATATGCAGATTATGTCTATAGCTCACTATAAGATAAATAACTTTATTATTCTTAATCATACTTTTATAATCATCTGCCAAACACATTGTCCACTTCGTATAGTTTTCTAAGTACAGATTTAATGTTATAAACTAGGTACATGTAGTTTGAACCGTTGTGCCTTTAAGTTAAACCCAGTCACACAGACCTAGAGACGGGTTGGTGACTATCTGGCAACCACCGGTCTCTAGGGAAAAGTGAGTATTCCCCAGCTGACACGTTCACCATCAAAGTAAAGATGTGCCTCCCTGCAGCAACCAACATGTTTCCACAGGTGCAGCTTTTACTCTGAAGGTAAATATTTTGCAGTTTGTGTTGCATCTTTCTCAGGTTCTCAACCGCTTGTAGAGCAACTATTGAGCGTTTGCAGACAAGTCTGAGTCCTCACTGCAGACTACAGGC